TATAAACTGTTAACTCTTTTTCGTTGTCTGTGGAGTGCTTCTGCATGTGGGTCAAACATATTAGACCCATCATGACAATTCCTTGTGAGCGCGGATGCTCCGTGATCAGAGGAAAAAGGGAAATGGCGCTGAACGGTGGTGAATATTGGAAGTGCAGGTTCATATAATCCAAGTCTGTGAATAGTTCTGTCTGAAATGAATGAAAATAGTTGTTTTAATGGTTATGTGGCGGTAATGTTTTGTTTATCTAAAGGTTTTATCTGTCCCTGTGTAAATGGGTTTGGCTGTAATTTAAGCTCAGATTCCAATATCTCTGCTATAAATCTGATATCTGAGACCAGCTCCTTGAAAATGTTATTGGCATCCAGAACAGCAGTGCAAAGTTGGGTGTCCATTCTTCGCCTGCATTGTAAGTCAACTATCACGGTTGCTAAGCGACAAAGTGTACGGGCGGTGAAAGCTGTGGAGGGCTGGACCTGTTTGAATCCACAGCCAAACTCTTGCGGTCTCCTTATTCTCACGGACCTGGAAGGATCCAGTCCAGGTAGACCAGGTCCTTGGAGGACGCAGCCTTAAAAATAAAACACCCTGTCTGTCACACTTTCCATTACCCTATCCAGTGACCCATTAATTTCTATGGCCTAACCCTAATCATTACCAACACACGCCTAAGCCTGGGCTTAACTTAAACTCAGTTCAGGAAATTACTGATCATGTGATCCTCAGCCAGGTTCAGGCTAAGCTTTGATAGCTAGACCCACATCCTCCTCCTCATTCTGAGACATGCTGTGGTAGAGTGACCAGCTGATCCCAAACATGTTCTCACATGGAGCATCTAAGTAACTTCTTTTAAACATGTGCAACTTAATCCTAAAACAAACTTAACTAAGAGATGCATCATTTACAGGGAACCTTTTCTACCTGTGTCAAACCCCCTTTATTGTATTCTATGTTCCATTTAAGGGGGCAACTCTAGCTATAAGGATAAGGTTAAATACAGGGAGATTGTTATTCACACTGGCGGTAATGACACCTGGTTACTCTGATCAGAGGTCATTAACATCAGCTTATGATTCAGATTGTAAGTTTGCCAAAAATGTCGGCCTCTGTAACTTTCTATAGCCCCCTCCCTGATCTGATGTTTAACCAGGAAGCAGAGTCGTAGTTTAACACACCTCTCTGCAGCTTCACTACTGTTAGCCATTCATTGTCCAACCATGACAGTGTTGTGTCCATGGCCAACACTAAAACCAATTAAAAGAATAAACTATCCTGCAGAAATAAAAAATGAGATTCTAGTAATAATTAACATTATCCTAATTAAACAAAACTTTAAAACAATTAAATGGAATTTAATGAACAAAATATCTCTCTCAAAGATTTTATTTGTTAATGATTTGATTTATGACTTAATATGTGTTGGTATGACCATGGCGTCAGATGCAGGAGTTTGCCCTGCCAATGGGTTGTCTGTTAAAGCTACAATGTAGCTTACCACCATCAGTGTGTGTGTGTGTGCGTAAACAGGTGAATTACTGAATGACTTGGAAAAGCGCTACAGACCATTTACCACAACCAGACTGATTCATTTTGTCTCAGGAACCTCGGGTCTGTTTCACGAAGCAGGTTTATTGACAACTCCAAGTTTTCTAAACCTGAAATCAGGGAAACTCTGAGTTTTCAGGTTTCACAAAGACAGTTTCCTCATCCTCTGTTTCTGTTGCCATGGTAACATCCTCCCAGAGCTAACCTGGTCAGCAGCGGGTTTTCTTCAGTAAACTCCTTGTCCTCTGTCTCTGCTCCCCTTAGAGCCAATCACGCTGTCTTATTTCCTGATCTAGTACAATTTTTGTTTTAGTTTTGTCCGTAAATAAAAAAAAAAAAAATCATTAACTAGGTCCATCAGACACTTTAGTGTCATCTGATGAGGATCTTGTTAAAGATTAATCTGCACTTTTTCACAGAGACTTTAATATTTATAGGGAGAGGATTCTCATCTCAGTGACATGAGATTTATGTTTCTTTGATTTGTTTAATATCAGCGACATGTGGATCATTTTTGTTTATAATTTTTACAGTACATGAAGAACTAATTAAATCATTTTCAGATTACAGATAAACAGATTAATAAATTGTGTGTGTGTGAGGGGGGGGTCACTTTAGGGTTAGGGTTAATTCAGTGATAACCACCTACCGAGTCTACTGCCACAATCTGAAGCCATTCTATGTGACTGATAATAAAAACCATTTATCGGTATGATAACATCCGAAGCGTTTGCAAACAGCCACTTAGTATTTACTGATGAAGGACAGAATCTAACTGAAGAAGAACCTCATGAGACGATGAGGTTCCATCTATTACATTTTTATTCTTCATTCTCACCTGCTGCCAGATTATTTCATATTAATCCACTACCATTTAGGAAATAATCCCGTAATGTTATTGTGGTCACTAAAGATTATGGCAGGCCATATTGATATGTATTAGTTTTACTGAACATGTATTCCTGATATCTGAAAAAAAAAAAAAAAACTATTTCATTTGTCTAAATGACCATTTCAATATCCACATTTCCACATCTAGAATAAACATTCTGGATGTCTAGAAATTAATATCAGATCTCTGTATTCCTAATATACAGTTCATTGTTTCAATTATTTTGACTATGTAGAAATGTATTTCAGATATCATAAATACATTTTCAGTCAAGCTGAAAAATGTCAGAATGGCTATCTATAATATGTAAACATTATAGAATATAAAACTTCATTCTTACCAGTAAAATTTATTTTATTTTTTTTGCTTTCTAAAATTCAGTTTTCTGCAAAATTTTAATTTAGAAAATATATTATTATAGTTTAGTCTAGGAGTGTGATTTTGATCAGGAAGAATCTTATTTTAGTGATCTACAAATGGAACAACAGAGAGGAGAGAGCTTTAAATGTAAAAACAGCCTGCCATATTATAGAAACGTACGCATTAACTTGAGGAACAATCTTTTACTTAACCATCTTCCTCTTCTTTGCAGCTGTAGTGCCGTTTCTCTTTCTTTTGAACACATTCTCAATTTTATTTTTTATTTCTGTATTAAAATCTCTAGATCCAGTGTGGTGAAATAGGCGCTTCATGTTGCCTGTTGTCATGGTTGAATCGGGGCTCCAACGATAATGGCTTTTCATACTTGTTACGTACATGTTCAACTCTGAGTGGACCTAGTTAGACTGGATTAAACTAATTCATAGCAGCCGTTTTGCAACCAAAAACTCAGAGTTCCTGACCTTAGGCTAGATCAATTTAGAGTTGAGGATTTGAATCAGAGTTTGTTAAACCTGCTTGGTGAAATGGACCTCTGGCTGCAGCAAGTGGATTATGTTAGCAAGTATAAGGCAACCCTAGCTATTTAATATTTTTACATGCCCAAATATCCTGGGCGAACAGGAGTAGCAACAATCTTTCAGTCTGATTATTAATTCTAAAGCCAGTTAACAGCTTTAATTATTCTGAACATTTAACCCTTAGTTTTCCCCATCTAAAATTACAATTAAAGAGACAAAACAACCTATGATTGTATATTTGTATTTTTCACCAAATCCTTACTCAGAACTTTTAGATCTGTTTCCAGACTTCCAATTTGATTTAATGTTAAATACTAACAATGTCTGTATAGTGGGGGTTTTAAACATTCATCCTGAAGGTGAAACTCAAATGCAGCCTTTAATGCTATCTTAGACTCGATTGGCTTTGTTCAAAATGTGAATAGTCCCACATATTCTCATCTTCATACCTTGGACCTTGTGCCGTCATATGGCAATGATCTGACCACTTTCTACTAACCTTCAAATTAAATGTAACGTTTTCTTTCCCTAAAAGAAGGTTTGCTTTAACAGATAACTATCAGTATTAATAAAGCAATAGGTTGCATTTGATACAGTTGACCATAATATTCTTTTAGAAAGACTTGAATATTTTGTTGGAATTAAAGGAACAGCACTAGACTGGTTTAAATCTGATCTATCTGATCGAATTCAGTTTGTTCATGTTAATGATAGATCTTCCTCATGCTCAAAGGTTACCTGTGGAGTACCACAGGGATCAGTGCTAGGACCAATTCTCTTTACTTTATACATGCTCCCAATCGGTAGAATTATTAGACAGCATGGGATTAATTTCCACTGTTATGCTGATGATACCCAGCTATATATTCTTAACTTTCTGCTTCTGAATGCAGACAAAACAGAAGTTTAGACCAGAGTTTGAAAAAAGATAGCTGATTAGTCAGCTATTTCATTTTGATGGGATTAAATTTATCATAGTTAATGTAAAAAAAAAAAAAAAAACTTTGTGAATTGGTGCTATATAAATAAATAAAATGTAATTAAAGTATGCCAATATAAGTAAACTTGTTTTTTTACAGCTTTACTGAAAACAAAATTAAAATACAGTATTTGTTGTCGACACAGGAAAAGTATATTTGACTTGTGCCTAAAACTGTTCCAATATTTACAAGAAGAGTCCCAGAAATAAGAATGCTGGATTTTCACATTGTGAAAAAGCAAATTATGTACAACCAGAGACCATGAAGAGGATAAAAAGTCTTCTAAAATCCACTGCAGAAAGAAGAAAAGCTTCTGGGATGGTATTTAGGCTCCTGAGGCAGGCTGTCCTGGTAGATCAATGTCTTACACCTCTGGTAAATATGTCACTGCTATCTTTAACATAGAAGAAATCACTTAACGGGTTTAAATATGTTGATGACAAACAGATGCAATCAGGGTAAATTGGGTAAATGACCTTAAAAACAGAAAATCTTCATTTAAAAAAATACAAAAAGCATCTGTAGTTCTTCATGGAGTCCATGTCCAGATGCAGGCTGGCCAGCGGGGGGCGGTACGGTGATTGTCCAAAGGTTCGTCTCTGGAACACAATACCTACAGTTTCTTTACCTGTTTCACATTTTTTCCAGTCAACCGCAGAATACTGAAATTTTTCCTGAAGAAAACATTTGACCCCTTTGTTGAGTTCTGGACCAAAACACGTTCACCTAGAAGCCATGAACACTTGAAGTTAAAGACCTTCCCTTTTCTTAGCAGTCAGGCACTAAATTGGGTCCATGAAAAGGAAGCAGGTGGAAAAAAATCCCATCTTATTATTATGAATAATAAACTCATCTTTCCTTATAATATCCTTAATAGTTCAGAGTCATTTTTGATCTAATTAGCGTTTTGACAGAATTCTTCCAAAACCGTATTTTATAGCGTTAAAACTTTGACTTTGAGCTTCTGAAGAAAGGAGAAGCGTTTGATGACGGCAACAGCAGGAGGTGGATGAACGATGATATTAGCGCTGGTTCATGCGGTCTGTTCCGTCTTTAAGGTCTGAATGAAGCAGAAAGAGTTAAAGGAGGAAATGAAGGGAGATACTTCAGCTCACAGACAGACGTCCTTTTCTTCTAACTAGAGCAGCTGTGATTCAGAGTTACATGATTTGACCTTTTAGAACCAAGCTTGAGTTTTCAAAGCGTCAGACGGAGGATGCAGGACCGCAGCCACCTCTGGACCAGAACCAGAGCTTTGTTTGGGATCACTCTCAGGACAAATTCTGTTTATTGTTTTCCAGGTACAGAGAGCCGCCATCTTTTAGAGATAAATCATGAAATATACAAACATGTTAATATACACCATTTGTTGCCACATTGTCTCTATGGCCATTCTGTACAGCAGAACGAGTCCGGGTTATGTACATGTCGCATAGCGGACCTGGACAGGAGGCAATAGTGCATTTGGTTCTGTGATTGCATGCTCTCCTGTCTCTGTCACTCGGGCTCTTCCTTCTCGTCGTGATTGGACGCTCAGCGGACCTGTGCGGCGTAGCCCTCCTTCATCAGACCCTCCTCATAGTCGGTCTGGCAGAGGATCATGTTGTTCTTCAGGAAAAATTTGTCTCCAACACAAAACCTGCAAAACGGAAACAGAGGAGAGATAATGATCTGCAGAGAATGAAACCATCATGAATGTTCTTCAGGTAGCAGCAGCAATAAGAGAATTCCTCTGGTCTGCAAACAGATCAACTCAACATGCAGGAGGAAACAGTTTGAATCATTTCCCCTCATTTTATGACTAATTATTACTAATGAATGTTTTTTCTCAAACACTCAAGTTTGATTTTCAACAGCTCCATGATGGAGTCTCCATCCTGATCTGTTATCCAGGTGAACAGCGATTGCTCTGCAGAGTCCATTTCATTAATACATCCCACTAAACCAGGCCAATAACTTTATCAGTTCATGGATTGGCTGGGAGCCTAAAACATGTATTCCATCCACGAATTCCAGGAACAGGATGCGAGATTTCCATAAAAAGGGGGAAAATTCAGTGATATTTCTAGTTGAACTGTAAAGTGCCTTAAGATGACTTATATAAATAAACTGAATTGAATTGATTCTGCTCATTGGGACAATTAATCGCATTTGCAATTTAGAAAAATGCAATCATCAAATCACAGAGGCGCTCAGTGTTTAATCACAATACATTTAACTAGAATAAGACACTGAATTTCTCCCTCCAGCTCTTTAAGTGGCAGTAATACGATTAAAGTGGGTCTACTGTCACACAGAGAGTTGCATCTAGCACCTAGATCTATGTATTATTGTAGAAGTAAGAACTTTTTCATGCAGATGTTACAGTAAAGTCCTTCAGCTCTGGATTCTGGAAAAGCAGGATGGAAAATGGAACCCTGGAGTAAAACTTTGACATGGTTTCACTCAGTGCAAAGGAAAATCACACTATGGGTAAAAAATAATCACAATCTAGATTTTTGGCCAAACGGTTTAGCCCTACTGCTCATTTCAAAGGATATGCATGAGGAAGAACTTTAAACCTTCCACTCTCCCTTTGTTCTTAGAACGCAGAAAAATCAGGTAAAAACATGGGATTTTTTTAAAGATCCAACCTTCAAAAATAATCTTTTAGAATCCAATCCGCAGAGCTACATCCTTAGACTGCAGAACAACTAATACGATGATATTAGGATAGAAATGACCTTTATTCTGTATCTGAGGACATTATGATGATCCTATTTAACACATATTAAAACAAACTATTACATAAATGCTAATATTGATCCACATCTAGTCCTGCTGGTGGCTTTAAACAGTCAAAACCAAGAGTACCGAGGACCAGCGTCTGACATTAGCTGCAGGAATAATTCTATTCAGTGTATTTCTATAGTTCCAATTCACATCAGGTCATCTCAGGTCACTTTCCAGTTCACCAGATCATCCAGTCAGATTGGTTCAAAGTTTTCTATCTAAGGAAAACCAGCTGATTGCATCGACTCATTGACTCTTCAGCAATCCCTCACACTAAGCATGCTTGTAGCGACAGTGGAGAGGAAAAACTCCCTTTGAACAGGAAGAAACCTCCAGCAGAACCAGGCTCAGTGTGAGCGGCCATCTGCTGAGGCCCACTGGGGTTCAAGGAGAAAACTGCTCTGAGGTGGAGAAAATCTGGGATTTCATGGGATTGGGTCCAGATTTAATCCATCTGAGTCGGCGTTTGGATAAACACAGAACTGAACGATGAAGAGGAACTTTTATTTGGACTCTTCCATGAACACTCAGCAGTGACTTTATGGAGGTTCAGCCGTTTCTGCAGCTGCTCTTGGCTATATTTATACTTCTGGATTTCCTTCATCTTTTAGAGGTGCTGGTTACATGATCATTTCAAGGAGCTGCTGTGCCATGATTACGACATTTTAAATGTTAAATCAATCTCCCTTTACTGCTAGACCAACAGATATTTAATGCAGAGGATCATCAGCCCAAACAAACAGCATCCGTTTGGTTTGCTGAACTGATTTGGAGTAAAAATCTCCCTCCATCAGCAGCACTGATGTTTCCCTCCTGCTGTCAGAGCCTAGTTTCCTGGGATACCTCCTACACCCACCTCCACCCTGCAGCTGCTCTGTGCCTTCAGGGGGAATGAGGCTGGATGATAAGGTTGGAGGACAGCTTCATCGATTAGCTGTCCCCAGGGCTGATCCGTGGCTAACAGCTTAGAGGATTCCACTTTATTAACCTGGCTACAAAATATGCTAATCCTGGATATTTGAAACCTAAAAACAGAAGATTTAAGAGAGGAATTCCAGACGGATCTATTCCCAGGGCTTAGGAAACAGACGGATCTATCCTTAGTTTACAGAGTGGAGACGGGAAGAGGAAATGTTCTAGTTCTGAATGAGAAAATGAAACCTTAAATTTGGAAACGCTTTTCTTCTCTCATTGAGTTCAGATTTGCTCAGCTCCAATAAAGTCTGTCATGGCTGCCGACGTTCTGTCAGATGAGCATACACCGTCAGACCAGCATGCTTAAAATGGGTAACAAACAAAAACAAAGAATGTTTACTGAATGAATGTTAAGTGTCAGAACTGTAACTATTAGGGATGCA